ACTGTGTAAAACCAAGGGTCCCACGGGCACGGGGTGGCACAGGGTGGGCACACAGCGCCTGTACACCCCCCACCCTACCCCCAAGCCAAGGAGGGCACAGGTGCCAAAATGGAGGCCCCACTTGCCACCTTCCCTGTCCCTGGGGGTGTCCCGTGTTGCCCCCCAATCTATGGGGGCTGCCTCAATCCTGCCCCTACCATACCCCTGACACAGCCTGGGGAGGAGGGGTCACAGCGTCCCAGCCTTCAACACCAGCAGGTTTTGGGGGTGTCCTCACTCCCCAGGGGCTGCTGCTCGTCCTCCTCCAGCCGGGCCAGGGTGGGGGCGTGGGGCAGCCCCCGCAGCTCGTCCAGCTCCTTGCGGTGTGCCTGCAGCACCAGCTCCGTCAGGCGTGTGAAGGACTGTGGGAGAGGGGTGGGGTGAACCTGGGGGACCCCTCCAGTACCCCCTGGCCTCTCCAGGTCCCCCAGGCCAGCCCCAACTCCCTCAGAACCCCAGCACCCCCCCACCCAGTCCCCTCATACCTCCTTGATGTTGAGGTTGCTGCAGGCACTGGTCTCGTAGAAATCCATCCCGTATTCCCTGGCCAGCTGCGGCACCAGGGGTTTGGCAGGGAGGGGGAGTAGCGTGATTTGGGGGGAGGGGGGATTCAATACCCCTGCCCCCCCCCCTCTGGAACATGAATAGCCAGGTATGGACAGACAGGAGAGCTGTGGGGGGGGCTGGCATAGGGGCACACCTGGGGTTGGGTGCAGGGGGCCCTGGGAGGGGTGCTGGATGCTATGGGGTCCAGAGGTCACTGGGAGGGATACTGGGGGGCACTGGGTGCTTTAGGGGTGCAGAGGAGCACGGTGGAGGTGCAGGGAGGGTTTGGGGGTTGTTGGACGCCCTGGGGTAGCACTGGGCAGTATATGGGTATCCTGGGTGCTCTAGAGCTGCAGGGGGAGGTCAGTGGTCCCTGGGTTCAGACTGCAGGAGCATGGGGGGGGTCACTGGATACAGATAGGGATGTTTGGGGGTCCCTGGATACGGGTAGGACTGCAGGAAGGCTGTTGGGGTCCATGTGGAATGCAGGGGGTGCTTGTGGAGGGTCTGGCCATGCTGGGATTGCAGGGAGATGCGCTGGGTGCTTTGGGGGTCAAGAGGTCGCAAGGGGGACACCAAGGAGGTCACTGTGTGCTTCAGGGGTGCAGGAGACAGTGCTGGAGGTACAGGGAGAGGTTAGGGGTCTCTGAACATTTTGCAAGTGGGGAGGAGGGAGCCTTGAGGCTGCAAAACCACTGCAGGGATGGAGGGGAAGAGGGTTCCTGGACACTGGGGGAGGTGTTTTTGGAATGCCTAGATTTAGACTGCAGAAGGTGGGGGTCCTTGGTCAAGCTGGGAGGGGCTGGGGAGGCTTGGGGGTCCCAGATAGAGGTAGGGCTGCAGGAGGGCTGTAAGGGTCCCAAGTGCAGGGGGGGGCTCAGGGAGAGGCTGGCCATGCTGGGGGTGCAGGAGAGGTCCTGCCCCCTGGGGGGGGGGCACACAGCAGCCCCCGCTCACCTGCAGCCCTTGCTCTTTGGGCACTTGCCTCTTGTGCTCCTCGTCCGCCTTGTTCCCGATGAGGATTTTCTGGACGCCATCGGGTGCGTACTGGGAGGGGGAACAGTGTAAGGACCCCTCCCAACACGGTTGGGGAACCTCCAGACCACCCTTGGGAGCCCCCACCTCATCCACGTCGCTGGCCCACTTCACGATGTGCTGGTAGGAGCGCTCGCTGCTGATGTCGTACACCAGGAAAATGCCCTGTAGGGGGTGGGGGGTGGCTGTTGACACCCCAAAACTGTGCCTCAGTTTCCCCTCTCCTGTGTACCAGGACAGGGAGCCCCCATACCTGTGCCCGCCGGTAGTACTGCTTGGTGATGGTCTGGTACCGCTCCTGGCCGGCTGTGTCCCTGTCCGGCGACAGCGGGTCAGTGCCACGGCACCACCCATGGCATGAGTTTGGCAGGGCTCAGCCCTTACCTTGGGTGGGGGGAGCAGGACTCAGACCCCCCCAAAATCTTCCCTCTTCCCCCCGGGATCCAGTGCTGCCACTCACCAGATCTGTATCCGCACCTTGATCCCATCTACCTCGATGGTCTTCATCTTGAAGTCGACACCTGGGATTGGAATGGGAGAGGTTGTGGGGTGTCCTGTCACTGGGGGCCGTCTGGTCCATTCACTCCTTCTGACCCACACCCACACCCCACCATGGCCTGGTCCTGGTCCCCACACCCAGTGCCTGGCCTTGCAGGAGGCCCTGGTGCCAGGTGGTGATCCTGGTGCTCCCAGTTCCCTGGTGCTGCAGCTGTCCAGCTCTCCCAGTTCCCCAGTGCTACAGCTTCTCGGTACTGGGGCTGCCCAGTGCTCTCAGTTTCCAGCTGCATGCTGCTCCCCAGAGGTGCCTGGTCCTCCTGATTCTCCCATGCCCATGATTTCCTGGCTCCCTGATGCTCCCGGTTCCCGGTTTCCCAGTTTCCCTATGCTGCAGCTTCCCGCTGGTCCCGGCTTGCGGATGCCCACAGTTCCACCGTTTCCTGATGCCCACGGCTTCCCAGTTCCCCAGTGCTGTGACTCCCGACGCTCCCGGTTCCCCGGTGCCCACAGTTTTCCCTCTCCCCGGTGCCCGGTTTTCCTGCTCTCTGGTTACCTGTTTCCCCATGTTCCTAGTGTTGCAGCTCTCCCAGTGCCCACGGTTAACCCTTTCCCGCTGCCCCCGCTTTTCCCGTGCCCACCACCGGTTCCCCAGTTCCCACGACTCCCGAGTGCCCTGCTTTCCCGTTTTTCCAATCCTGTGGCTTCCCAGTTCCTCGGCAGTCCCGGTTCTCTGATGCCCACGGATTTCCCCTCCCCTGGGTTCCCGTTTCTCGGTTGCTGCATCTCCAGCTTCTCCAGTTCCCATGGTTTTCCCGCTCCCCCGTTGCCCGTTTCCCCGGTACTGCGGCTTCCCAGTCCACACGGTTTCCTGGTGCCCACAACTCCCCAGTTCTCCGGCTTCCCTTTTCCCCGGTAATGCGGCTCCCAGTGCTCCCGGTTACCCGGTGCCGCGCCTCCCCATTGCTCCCGATTCCTTGATGCTCCTGGTTTCACGTTTCCCCGGTGCCGCGGCTCCCCGTTTCCCCGGTGCTCCCGGTTCTCTGGCTTCCCGTTTCCACGGTGCTGCGGCTCCCAGTCTTCCCGGCTGCCCGGTTTCCCGATGCTCCCGTTTCCCCGGTGCTGCGCCTCCCCACTGCTCCCGCTTCCCCGATGCTCCCGGTTCCCCGTTTCCCCGCTCCCGCCGCCGCGGCCGCCGTGCGCTGCCGGTGCCGGTACCGATGGTGGAGATGTGGGCGGGGTGGAACTGGTTGTCGGTGAACCGGCAGAGCAGGCAGGTCTTGCCCACGCCCGAGTCCCCGAGCAGCAGCAACCGGAACAGCACGTCGTACTGCTTGGCCATGGCGGGCCCGGGCCGCCGCCGCCGCCGCCACACCGGGGCCGCTCCGGGGCCGCGAGCTGCGCCGCCGCCGCGCCGGGCCGGGCTGGCACCGGGGGATGCAGCGGGGCGGGGCGGGGCGGGGGTGGCGGCGGCGGGAGGGGGCACCGGGAGGGGAAACGAGGGGGGCGACACCGGGGATGGACCGGGGGATGCTGTAGGGAGCGGGGAGGGGACACCGGGGATACACCCGGGATACACCGGGAGATGTTGTGGGGAACTGGGCGGCGACACGGGGGATGGACTGAGAGGAGAGCTGGGGAGAACGGGGGACGGAGCCAGGAATGCGCCGTAGGATATGTTGAGGATGCTCTGGAAAACCGGAGGTGGGAGACAGGGGATATACCAGGGGGACCAGCGGGGACTTCGGGGGCTCTGGGAGTACCAGGGATGTACCCGGGATTGCTCTGGGGGCATTGGGAATGGGACAAAGGGGTGCAGCAGGGGACACTGGGGTGACATAGAGCTGGACCAGAGGACTGGTGACACTTAGGAAGGATGGGATGGCACCCAGCAGGACCTGGACAAGGGTGGGTTGTCTAGGAACAAGATTCCCATAGGAACTTTGTGGGGGTAAACAAGGCCAAGGACAGGGTTGGCACATGGATTAGGACAATTCCCAAGATAAGTGCAGGATGGGAGGTGGGATGGAGAACAGCCCAGATGAGAGGAATTTCAGGGGGATGAGAAGCTGAATATGACCTGGTGACGTGTGCTGGCAGCCCTGGAAAGCCACCCATGTCCTGGGCTGTGTCACTTGGCAGCATGGGCAACAGGTGAGGGGGGATTGTCCTCCTCTGCCCCACTCAGGTGAAACCCCACATGGAGCACTGCGTCCAGCCCTAGGGTCCTTGTCATGGGAAGGACAGGGAGCTGCTGGAGCAAGTCCAGAGGAAGCCACAGAAATCCTCCAAGGGCTGAGAATGGGCTGGGAGAGCTGGGATTGCTCAGCCTGGAGAAGAGAAGGGGCTCCAAGAGAGATGAAGAGGGACTTGGGATGAGGCCATGGATTGACAGGACAAGGGGGAATGTCTCCGAAGTGGAAAAGGGGAAGTGTGGATTTGATATGAGGAAGAACTTCTTTACAATGAGGATGGTGAGGCACTGGAGTGGATTTCCCAGAGCAGCTGTAGATGCCTGGAAGCGTCCAAGGCCAGGCTGGAGCAACCTGATCTAGTGGAAGGTCTGCCCACGGCACGGGGTGGAACTGGATGGGTTTTCAGGTTCTTATCAACCCAACCCGTGGATGCTATGATGATGCAATAAATGACGTCACATCACGATGACGCAAGGGCTCCGGGGGGGGGGGGAATAGTGAAGCTCCTCCGCGCACGCGCGCCGGGGCCGGGCGTGCCCAAGAGAGAAGGGGCGTGGCCACAGGAGGGGCGTGGCCACCGGGGAGGGGGGCGTGACCAACGGGGAGGGGCGTGGCCAATTGGAGGGCGTGGCCGCGCGCGGTGGGCGTGGCCATGAGCGCGGCCGCGCGTCCCCTCCCGGCCGCCGTCGCCCGCTGCCCCCGCGGCCGCAGCATGGCGGGAGCGGCCCCCGGCTCCGCCGGGCGGCGGCGGCTGCGGGACGATGGGCTGCGCACCTGCACCTCCGCCGAGCAGGTACCGGGGGGCTGCGCTGCGCGCTGCCAGGCTACCGTGGGGCTGGCCTTTGGGGTGCCGTGGAGGTGGGGTGTGGGGTTGCCGTGGGGCCGGGCTTTGGGCTGCTCTGGGACGGGGCTCAGGGGTTCCGTGGCATCGGATGATCCCTATCCCAGTATCCCCACGCAGCTACTGTCCCCGCACCCCCTGTGAAAACAGCCCTACAGTGACCAGTGTTTTGGGGGGCCCGGCGGTGCTGCCGCCCGCCAGCCACGGCAGCTTCCACGTCCCCCAGAACCAGCTGGGGGAGGGTGAGGGGTCCTGGGCAGCCAGACTCTCCCCTCCGTCCCTCTATCCTGAGCCAGCCCCTAGCAGCTCCCTTGGGTGCTGGGATGGGGTAAAAAGTGACTCCGGGTTTCCCAATCTATGGGGTTCTTGCTCAATTGTGCCTGGCAGGACACAGTGCCATGAATGCAGGTCCCCGTGCGGCCCCTCCTCACCCCCGGGACTGATCCTGGGGTATTTCCTTGAGGATTACCGTGGCTTAGAGTGCCCAAGTCCCCAGTTATCCCAGCGTGAGCGGGAGGAGAGTGTTTGCTATGACAGTCTTGTGATGAACCAAATTCAAGCTGGATTTGTAAAGCAGCACGGGATGGTGCTGGATTCTGGCATAATTTGGGGCACAGAGCTCCTGGGAATTCCTACTTTGGTTTTACTGGATGAGACGAGGCTGTGAATCAGATAAACCCCTGGGATGGGGTAGAAGTTGCAGGGCTCAGTGGGGATCATGTTTGGGATGTGTGTAGCCTCTTCCCAGAGCTCACCACAGTCTTTATTCCCATTTTTCCTTACAAGTCCAAGGTGGAGGACATCGTGCAGGAGGTCTATGATGCCTACAAGACAAATCATCACTCCTCACAGTCAGTATCAAAACTCTCAATAACTATAAAGAACTCCCATCCCAAAAGACTCATTGATCCCAGTGGGTGCTGCAGTAGGATTCTGCCCCTCCTGCCACTGTCCCCCCGCTTTTTCAGGCCACCCTGCCTGCTCATCCTATCCTCTCTGTATTCCAGGTACGTCCTGCAGCGGGAGAAGCACTTCCATTACCTGAAGAGAGGTCTTCGGCAGCTCACTGAAGCCTACGAGGTACTGGGAGTGCCGGGTGTGCCACCTGGAGCCACTGGCTGGGGGAACCCCTCGCCCTGGGGCTGTCACCAGGGCTGTTTGTTGCTGGGGGTTTGCCAGCCCCAGAGTGGACACAGCATTCCTGGTGTGCCCACGCGCATCCTAGCGATGCTCTGGGGGTTCTCCTGGCTGTCTCCTCACTCCTGCCTGCTCCTGCCGTGCCCAGTGCCATTCTCTGACTGTCCCTGCTGTCCCTGCAGTGTCTGGATGCCAGCCGCCCCTGGCTCTGCTACTGGATCCTGCACAGCCTGGAGCTGCTGGATGAGCCCATTCCCGATTCGATGGCCTCTGAGTAAGTGGGGAGAGCTGGGGGGACCCCACCATGGCCACTGTCGCTGCTGGCCACCCGCGTGACTCCGGAGGTGCCACCTCCCGCTGTCCCCAGAGCAAAGGAGTGCTTTGTCTCCCTGCCACCGTCAATGCCGCCCATTCTTCCGGCGGCTTCCTCGTGACGACGGAGATGGGAGGGTGACACCCCCGGCTTCGACCTCGGGGAGATTTACAAGGCTGGGAGGGGATGCATCACCCCAGTGGGGTGACACAGGTGACGCTGAGCCCCTTCCCCACCTTCCCGCAGTGTCTGCCAATTCCTGAGGCGGTGCCAGAGCCCCCAGGGTGGATTTGGGGGGGGTCCCGGCCAACACCCCCACCTCGCCCCCACCTACGCCGCCGTCAACGCGCTCTGCATCATCGGCACCGAGGAGGCCTTCGGCGTCATCGACAGGTCTGGGGGCCGGAGGAGCTGGGTGGGAAGTGGGGTGCATGTCCCCCCCTCTCACAGCCATGCCTCCTGCAGGAAGAAGCTCTTGGAATACCTGCACTCGTTGAAGCAGCCGGATGGCTCCTTCCTCATGCACGTGGGTGGAGAGGTGGATGTCAGGTGGGTGAGGGCTGCATGGGCAGGCTGTTTTGGAGGGTCTGGGCATTTCGGGGAGCCAGTGCTGGAAGCAGATGCCATGGTGGGGAGCTGGTGCCATTCTGGGGATTTGGTGCTGGGTAGCTGGTGATGTTTTTGGGAGCCAGTATCATTTTGGGGAGCTGGTACTATGGTGGGAAGCCACTGCTAATTTGGGGTACAGTTTTGGACAGTCTGTTGTGGGAAGAAAATGCTGGGAGCTGGTGCCATTCTGAGGAGCCAGTGCCATGGCAAGGTGCAGTTTTGGGGACTCAGTTGTGTTTTGGGGAGCTAGTGGTGTTTTGGGGAGTGTCTAGTGCCACACTGAACTACTAGTGCTGTTTGGGGGTGCTGGTACCATGGTGGGGAGCCGATGCCATGGGGAGGTGTAGTTTTGGGGAACCAATGCTGTCTTGTGGTGCTGGTGCCATGGCAGGGGACCAATGACACAAGCTACTGCCATGGCAGGGTGCTGTTGCAGGGAGCCAGTGCTGGAACAGGGACCTTGTGCATTTTGGGGAGCCAGTGTAATTTTAGGGAGCTGGTACCACTTTGGGGTGCCAGTGCCACATCCCTGAGCACCTATCTCCTGAATCTGTGGGCACCCTATTCCTGCAGGAGCGCCTACTGCGCCGCCTCAGTGGCCTCGCTGACCAACATCCTGACGCCCACACTCTTCGCTGGCACGGCCGAGTGGATTGCCAGGTGAGATCTGGGGACAGATGTGGGACAGGGAGTGACATTCCCGGTGTCCCTGCTGCCCTGACCCCGCTCTCACAGGTGCCAGAACTGGGAGGGTGGGATTGGCGGCGTGCCGGGCATGGAGGCGCATGGCGGCTACACTTTCTGCGGCGTGGCCGCGCTGGTCATCCTCAAGCAGGAACATCTGCTGAACCTCCGGAGCCTGCTGGTGGGTGACCCCTCTCTGGGATACTGAGGCTCTCATCCTGCCGGGGATCTCTGGTCCCACACTGGTTCCCATCACCCCGCAGCACTGGGTGACCGGGCGGCAGATGCGCTTCGAGGGCGGATTCCAGGGCCGCTGCAACAAGCTGGTGGATGGGTGCTACTCCTTTTGGCAAGCCGGGCTCCTGCCCCTGCTCCATCGGGCACTCCATGCCAGGGGTGAGTTGCCACAGGCTTCCTCTGTCCCCAGAATGGCATCTGGAGGGATTTGACAACTTCTTTGGTGTTTCTCCTCTGGGTTTCCCTTCCAGGCGATCCAGCGCTGAGCATGGCACACTGGATGTTTGACCAGCTGGCACTGCAGGAATACATTCTCCTGTGCTGCCAGTGCCCAGCTGGCGGGCTGCTGGATAAGCCAGGAAAGTGAGTGCAAGGGGAAACACAGGGCTGCCTGGCATCAGGGATGCCCAGATGCCCCCTCAGCATCCCAGTATCTCCTTGCATGCAGATCCCGGGATTTTTATCACACCTGCTACTGCCTGAGTGGGTTGGCCATTGCACAGCACTTTGGAAGTGGAGACCTCCACAATGAGGTGGTCCTGGGTATCCCTGAGAATTGCCTGGTAAGTGCTAGGCATCGCTGGGGTGGGCAGGGATGAGCTTCCAGCGCTCCATAGCACTGAGAAAGGCAGATCCAATGGCAGTGAAAAGAGTTGGGGTTCGGCCTGGAGAAGAGAAGGCTTCAGGGAGAGCCTAGAGCTGCTTCAAGGGTCTAAAGAGCTTCAAGGGAGCTGGAGTTGGGCTTTGGACAAGGGCTTGGAGTGACAGGACAAGGGGGAATGGTTCCAAACTGGAAAAGGGGAATTTTAGATGGGATATGGGAAAGGAGTTCTTTCCTGTGAGGGTGCTGAGGCCTTGGCACAGGTTGTCCAGAGAAGCTGTGGCTGCCTCATCTCTGGAAGCATCCAAACCCAGGATGGACCAGGCTTGGAGCAACCTGGGATGGCAGAGATTCCCTGTGCACAGTGGGTTGGACTTAGGTGCCTTCTTGCCCAAACCACTCCAGGACTGTGTGACTAATACACACCATCTCTCTCCCACAGCAGGCCACACACCCCGTCTACAACATTGCCCCGGAGAAGGTGGCGAGGGCGGTGATGCACTTCCTGCAGTATCCTGTGCCCAGCCTGGATCCAGCATCCGCTGCCGAGTAGGGGGGTTCTGCTGCTGGCTCGGGGTGCCGAGCCCCGGGAGCGAGCGGCACAGCCCATCCCCGCGGCGCCTGGCCAGGCAGAGCACGGTGCTCAGGGTGCTAGCAATACCAAAATCCAGCCTGCTCCAGGCCTGGTGTCCTGCTGCCATCCTGGCCAGAGCCACGGTGGGACACGGGCTCTGGCAGAGCTTTTTGGCATCAATAAACCAGAAGTCACACCCGCCGTGTGCTGGTGGCCCCGGGGATGCGGGGCAGGAGGTGATGCCATGTCTGGATGTGGTGGCACCAACTTCCCCCATTCCAAGAACACATGGTAACCACAGGGAAGGATAAAATAAGTGGAATTTTGGCTTTTTTTGTTTATTATTTATAGTCTTATAGTAAAGGGAAGCCTTAACTTGCAAGACAACTCTGGGCAGTATGTACAACATACCTTAGATCCATGGAATGGCATCAAAATGGGGGGAAAAAGGGGCGCCTACGGGTCAGGGACGGGCCACTGGAGTTCGGAAAATGCCACGGAGGTTGGGAAGGGTCAAGGGAGGGGAGGAGGAGGAGTGGGGAAGGAGCCCCCAAGCCTGGCTCTGTGCTCTGCCGACTCGGGCAGGTGGAGTTGCACACGGAGAAAATAAATAGGGAGATTCCCCCCCCAGTGCTCGCTCCTTTTTTTGGGGGGGGCTTCCTGGCTCCTCCCCGTTGTGGACTGCACTGGTCCCCGGGTATAAATAGAAATGCTCCTATAAAACCAGGAGGGAAGGGGAGGGGGGTCACTAGCGGAGGGGAGTTGGCGGGGGAGTCTCCCTGACCCCCCCCAAGTCTTTCTGCTCGGCCTGGCCGGCTCCCCCCGGGGCCGGCGCGGTGGGAGCAGGGAAGGGGCCGGGGAGGGCTGGGAAGCTGCAGTCCAAGAGCTTCTAGGAGCGGAGGGAGCGAGTCCTGCCGCAGGCCGGGGGGCGGCGGAGGGGCCTAACTGGCCTCCATGCGCAGCTTCTTCCTGTTCTGCGGCTCGTCGGGCTCCGAGTCGGAGCTGGAGTCGGAGCCACCGTCGAAGGCGGAGATGGCACTGCCCTTGGGGTTGGTGTAGAGGCTGTTGTCCGCGGGATAGCTGGCCTGGAGCTGGGCGCTGGCTCGGGCCTTCTCCAGCGCACGCACTGTGAGGGACAGCACTGTCACCCCCGGGCCTGGCCCTGCCTGCAGCCCAGCTCACAACAGGCCCAAACTCTCACTGGATTCTGGATCCCAAACTCTTCTAGACCCCAGATTCTGCCAGACCCCAGCTCCCACTGAATTCCAGACCCTGCCAAACTCTGGTCCCTGCCACACCTCAGCTCCCACCAGATCCCAACTCCCAGTGGATCTCAGCTTCCACCCGATCCTGGATTCTGATGGATCGTATCTCCTGCCAGACCCCAGCTCCCACTGGATCATGGATCCCAAACCCTACTGGATGCCAGATCCTGGCTCCCAAAGCCTGCCAGGCCCCAGACTGCATCTCAGACCCTGCCAGACCCCGTCTCCAGCCAGATCTCAGCTACCACCTTGCTGCTCCAGCAGTGCATTCTGCCGCTTGAGGTCGTCGATGTCCTGCTGGTGTGTGTGGTTTTTCCGGCGCATGTACTGGATGTACTCTGTGGCTTTGTCCAGGATTTGGGCCCGGGATGCCTGTTGCAATAGTGGGAAAAGCCAGAGGCAAGATAAAGACCTAGTCCAGGGGGGAAAACTGAAATTTCACCTGCCTCATCCCACCCTGGCTCTGGTCTTCACTGGGGACTCCCGTGGTGCAAGAGAGCCTCGGGACTGTCCCAAATCGAGGAGCCTGGACCACGGGTGGGTGATGTCCGTGTCCCCAGCACGCTCCATAAACTCACCTTCTCTCCTTGGAGTGAGGGCACAGAATCCCGCAGGCTGTGGAAGCTATCTTTGATGTGGTCCCTGCGCTTGCGCTCCAGCGCGTTGTGATGAGCCCGTTTGTCGGCCTGAGAGTGGGGGAAACGGGTGGCACTGGGAGAAAGCCACCACCTGCACCCCTAAAATTCCCTCTGGGAATCGCTGTGGGAGCTCAGCTGAGCCCCCAGGGCGGCTCCGTGGCCGTGATGCCTCCGGCTGGGCCGCGAGGGCGTGGGAAGGAGGCGGCTCCCGGTGCTTTCGGTTTCCTCAGCTTCCTGCTGCCGGTGCAGCTCCTCTGGGCCCCGGGAGGGGTACGGCACTTTCCCCCTGGAACACGGGCACCTCCTCCCCTGCTCCCCAACCCACCAGGCACAAGCTCCCCCCGTGTCTTCTGTCAACCCCTTATGTTGTTCCCCCTGTGCCCCCAAATGTAGCCCCACCCCCCCAAATGACGGCCCCACACATAACGCCCCCTAACACCCCCGCTTTACCCTAGAAAGCCTCCCATTCCCCTCTCCTAAAAGGGCTGGATTCTCTTCCACCCGACCCCAGGCCCTACCGGTGTCCCCCGCATAAGACCCCCAGTCCCACAGGACACCCCCAAACCCAGAAGACATGACTTTATGGATCCCTGTTCTGTGTCACAGCCCTCAATCCAAATAAGACCTCCAAGCCCAGAGGTGTCCCCTCTCCAAGACCAACCCTCCTCCCCAAAAGACCCCCAGCCCTATTGGTGTCCCCTCCTTCCAAGCATCCCCACAGGACAACCCCCAAGCCCATATTTCTCCCCCAAGACCCCCATTCCCACAGATCCCTCTCCATGTCACAGCCCCTGCAGAAGATCCCAGCTCCAAAGGTGTGTTCCCCTCAAAAAAGACCCCCAACCCCACTGGTGTCCCCGTCAGCACCCCCAACCCCACTGGTGTCCCCCCAACACCCCGATCCCCACAGGACACGCCCAACACCCCCATCTCCCCCAGGCTCCCCATTCCTCCAGCCCCCTTCCATGTCACCCCCTCCCCAAATCCCGCCCCCCTCACACCCCCGCCCACGTGCTCCCCATCCCGGGGCGCTGCGGGGCGGCCCCCAGCGACCTACCGCGGACTGGAACCTCGGCTGCTCCTCCTGAGGAGCCCCGGCCGGAGCGAGGAGGAAGAGGAAGAAGATGGTGGGGGGGGGGGCGCCGCCATATGAAGGAAGAACACACACAAACCAAACATTACCCCATTCCCAGAGCTCCTGATGTGGGGAAGAGCCACGGGGGGTTATGCCAGGGGTTGTCCCAGGGTTGGGGGCCCAACTCACGTCGCTCTCCACCTCGATGTCATCGTTGTCGCTCATCGCTCCCGCCCGGGTGAAGCCGCGGGCCGGGCCGCGCCGCCACAACAACAGCCCGCACCGCGCATGCGCGGAAGTCGGGGGGGGCAATGATGGCGCGGGGCGACGCGAACGCTTGTGGGAGTTGTGGTTTGAGTGGGGAGATGGAGGCATCTTCCACGTGGCGGGGACTACAACTCCCGGCGTACATAGCGCGGGGCAGCGCGGGGCACGCCGGGAGCTGTAGTCTCCGCTTCGGGAAGGGGCCGCTTCGGGTGCGCAGCCGGAGAATGGAGGAGGTGAGGTTCAAGGACACGGAGGGAGGGGTTTATTGAAGGAAAACGGGGATGGGAGAGGTCGGGAAGTCTGTGGGCCCGACCTGGGGGGCTGCAGGCTGAACTAGCAGGGCTCCGGGACAACCTAGAGGGGGCTGCGGGGCTGCCTGGGCTGCGTGTGGGTCTGGTTTGAAGGGCTGTGGGCCAGTTCGGGAGGGGGCCGATCTGCCTGGGGGCTCCAGGGCAGCTCTGGGCGTCTGGATGCGGGCTAATATGGGAGGGCTGGAGGTCTGTGCATCTGCTCAGGGATCTGTGGGCCTCACCTGGGGGGCTTTGGATCTTCCTGGGGAGCGTGAGTCTTGTATGAGGGGCTGTGGATTTGCGTCTGGGGGCTTTGGGGCTGGCTTGAGGGCCTGCAGGTTTGACCTGAGCAGCTACATCATAATTTGGGGAGCTATGGGCCTGCCTGGGGGCTGTACCACAATTTGGGGGTCTCTGTACCACAATCTGGGGGCTGTAGAACCATCTGGAGGCTGCAGACCTGACCTAGGGGGTCCGTGGTCCAATCTGGGGGTCTGTCAGCCAGTGTGGGGGGATTTGGGCTGCCTAGGGGCTTTAGGCCTAGCTCGGGGAGCTGCAAGCCTGACCTGGGGGGGTTTGCAGAATTTTGGGCCCATCCTGGGGGAGCTGTGGAACCCCCTCAGGTACCAAGAGCAGGATGGGGCCCAGGACAGGCTGTCCCTATCCCAGCTGCTGCCCGTCCTCTTTTGGCAGCTCGTCCTCCCTGGTGGCCTCAGTTGGGTGCCTGTCATCATCCTCCTTGCCTCCATCACCGTCAGAGCCAGTCTCATCCGAGTTGTCCTCCAGGTAGCGGTATCCACGTGTTTTGTGGCGTGGGCGCGGGATGCGGGGCAGCCGGACTTCCACGTTCCATGCCACCTTCCGCTCCATCCACAGGTATGTCCCCACTGCCACCACCAGCGTCAGCAGCATGATGGACAGCTTGGCCTGCGGCACACGGGATTTTGGGATTGCTGTGGGGGTGAGTCCCCGAAAAGCCTGGAATGTCTCAGAGTGGCCTGGGACATTTCTGCGACTTACCTTCATGGGCAGCCCCGACCACAGGTAGACGGTGAAGATGGCCAGGGCCTGCCACCAGTGGTAGATGGTGAAGATGAAGTCTTGGCGCTCCTTTTTCTTGTACAACATTCCCAGAAGGACTGTGGCAGAGACTGGTATCAGTGTCCCCTTCCTGTGTCATGTCCCCTTGGCGTGGGGGGCAATCACAGTGAGTTTGTCCCGTGGATCCAAGGACAGACCACAAACTTATGGTGCCGGGGGACATGAGGAAAGGATGTGTGGAAAAACTTGGGACAACCCAGGCTATTTTGGGAACCACCAAGATGTTTTGGGGATAACAGAGGCTGTATTCAGGACCTTCCCACTACTCACTGCTGATTCCGGTCTTGTTGAGGGCACTGCCTGTGCCCCAGAGTGCGGCAATGCTGTAGAGCAGTGGCGCCTGCGGCAGGTACCGGGGCTCCGGTGCCCAGCAGAAGAGCGTCACCAGGAGTACAACATGGATCAAGGCTCCAGCCAGCAGCGGGATGTGCCGGCGCAGGCGCAGCATGCACAGGGCCAGGCTGGAGCACACCGAGGCGGAGAAGCCGTAGGCCATGAGGAGATACGCCAGCCTCTCCAGCCCGAGGGCGCACACGCCGTAGTTCTGCAGCGAGTACGGGCTCAGCATCATCTGGCTCAGCATCACCTGTCCCTGCTCTGTCACCTCCCACCCCATCACAGATCCTACCAGGGAAAATCCGGTGCAGACAAAGAGCACCTCGAAGCCACTGTAGATGAACAACGGGAAGAGGTGCCGCAGGCGATAGTCCCTCATGTGCTTGAAGGGCAGCTGGAAAATGTTGCCCCAGCCAATGCTGCGCATGTCGATCTCCTCCATGGGCCGGTACGCTGCGCCACACAGCACCAGCACCTGTGGAGTGGTGGCAGTGAGGTCCTGCCATCATCCAGCCCATCCCTGTCCCCTCCCACCCCGGCGCTCACCACCAGCATGGCGAGGAAGGCGGCGGCCATCAACGCACTCTCCACGATGATGAGGTTGACGCTGCGGGGAAGGCTCTGCAGCACTGTCTTGTTGAAACCAGGCAGCGTGCCGTGGCTGAGGGTCCCTGCCAGTGGGGCACAGGTCGTGGTTAATCCCAACTGGGGGCTCCCGGTGCCACCCCATGCCCCACCCCGCAGCCTTACCGCAGTGCTTCACTGCAAAGAGCGTGTGGTTGAGTTGGTAGAGGTAGTTGTTGAGGAAGAAGACCATGGGCATCTGAGCGCAGACAAAGCTCAACTACAGGATGTAGAGGGGTGCACGCTCAGTGTTGCTGGCATGGTCCCCTGCCCATCCCAGCCACCCTACCAGGGCTCACGTGGAAGCAGGAGTAGAAGACGGTCTGGAAAACGACGATGTAGGCATTGCAGGCGTCCCGCGGCGCCCGCTGCCTCTCCTTCTCCTGCTCCTCCTTGTAGTTAACATATTCATAGTACTTCTGGGCCATCCTGCGTGGAACAGTGGGTCAGCCGGCGCCCCGTGCATCCCCACCCACCCCCCCAATGCCTACCGCATGATGTAGGTGCCCATGGAGGCCCAGAGGGGCACGATGACCATGCCGATGGCCACTGCGGAGGGCACCAGCGTGTAGTAGCGCTCCCAGTAGTTGCTGGAGACGAAGAGGGCGTAGATGCCGACTGCCAGGAACATGGCCCACTTGGTGCCAAAGAACCTGCCGGGGCAAGGAGCGGAAGTGTGGGTGGCCATCCCAGTGAGCCGTGCCAGCTGGAGCATGGCGGGGCCGTACCTGATGAGGATGGGTGTGTAGAGCAGCGCCGCCACGGGTGTGACATTGATGCCCATCAGCACCTTGCGGTCAATGTCCTCCAACTGGATGTTGCTGTACTTCACCTCGCGGTAGGTCTCGTCGTAGTGAAGGATCAGCTGCATCTGCAGCAGACCTGGGGGATCCAGGGGTGGTCACCCCATGCCCTGAACATCCCGAGTTGTTCTGGGGGTCCCTGGGAGGTCCCATCCCATACCCAGGTAGACGCTGTAAGTGAGGGTGCCAGCCAGGCTGGCAGCCACCACGTTCTTGATGACACCGAGGCGCTTGTGGCGAAAGTATTTCTGCTCCTCCTCTTCCTCATTGTAGTCAGGATGAGCACCCACAAAATCATCCAGCTGTGGGTGATTCCAGCTGTTACTCCTTGGGGTTGGCCACCACGGGTCTGCTTCTCCCCCATGGGTGTCCCTCTGGTCTCACCTGTGCTTCTGTCCCCTCGGTGCTCAGCCTGGCACTTGGCACTGTCTTGGCCCCATCCTGGCAGCCGTCGACGTCCTTCTCCATTGGTGCTTCTGGAGGGCCCTGGATGGTGTCAGGGTTGGAGGGACCCTGTTGGCACTCCAAGTCTTGCACCCATATATTTTGCATCCCTGTGAACTGCACACACAGACCCTGCACCCTCATGCCCAGCACCCCCAGCCGTTGCACCCCTACATCCAGCACCGAGTACCCATGTACACAGCACCCCCAAGCCCTGAACCTCTGTACTCTGCACCCCCAGATCCTGCTCTCATGGTTGCACCCCTGTGCTCTGCACCCCTACACCTTCAGATCCTGCACCCCTGAATCCCGTGCCCCCTGCCCAGCTTTGCACCCCCCAGAACGGCACCTCTGGGCTCAGTGCCCCAGCCTGCTCACGCCTGCCCCCTCCCCGCCCGTCACACCGACCCCAGCCCCGCTTGCCCGTGCCGGAGCCTCTCGGGGCGGGGCGGGCGCTTCTTCCTCTTTCGGTTAGCGCGGGCGGGACGGAGGTGGTTAAAGGGGCCGGTCCCGGCCCCCCCCCCCCGCTCCCGGACCCCCGGGCCGTGCCCGCACTCCTCAGTGCCCCCCACCCGCGCCCGTTCTCAGCACCCCGGCCTCTGCAGCACTCATCATACCCCGACCCGCACAGCGCCCTGACGCCCCCTCACAGCACCCGTTGCCCCCCCCCATCGCGCAGCACCCCAGCCCTGCCCCCCTCTCCGCTTCCCTGCGACCTCTCAGCCTCCCCAGAGCTCCCACCGGGCCTCGGGGTGGGTGCTGCCTCCTCGGGGTGCCCCGTGGCGCTGGGTGCTGTGCCCTGCTGCTTTCGCTTCCCCTTCCCGGTCCGGGGGGGGGGGGGGATGTGCCAGAATGCCAGGGCGGGGGGACATCCCAATCGGGGGGTGTAGGGCACGTGCCTGCCCTGGTGTCACCCCAAAGCTGGGGCCGGGAAGGTGTCCGGGTGCGTGGCACGGCGGGGTGCCCCGGGGCAGGGCGAGGGGACTGCTGGGCAGGGCGGACAGGGTGACATCTCCGGGGCAGGATCTGGCCCAGCCGGTAGCGGGGGATTCTTGAGATGGGATTCTTGGGAGGGTGCTGGTTTCTGCAGGATAGGGGGATACGTATGGAACAGCCCCAGAAGGGTCATGGCAGTGGCAACACCCATCCTGAGGGTCCTTCACACCCCAAGCAATGGGAACCACCCTGGGGTGTCGGGGCAAAGAGCCCTTCCTGGAAGCAGGATGAGTGGAGTCTATTGATCATGGAACTTTTGGGAAACAGGATGAGGAGTATTGATAGGATCCCTATGGGTCAGGGTAGTCATGGTAGCAGCATGGTGGGTGTCTATTGATCATGTAACCCTTGGGAAGTGCGATGAAGGTTGTCTGTGGGAACCCCATGGGTCAGGGTGGCCATGGGAGCAGGATGAGGGGTGTCTGTGGGAACCCCATGGGTCAGGGTGGCCATGGGAACAGGATGAGGGGTGTCTGTGGGGTCCAAATGGGTCAAGGTTCATGGTGGTGGTGTGGTGGCCATGGGAGTTCCACCATCCCAAGGGGGAGGTCCCATTCCATCCTATCCCATCCCAGACCTTGTCCCCACTGCCAGCCCACAGAGGCGGGGCTGAATCCTTCCCGCCCCTGGCCATGGGGCCCAGCCCCACAGCATTTAGGGACCCCCATCCCGAGCCTCAGTAGTGCCTGCCTGGCCTTGCGCTCCTCCAGCTTCCACACAAGCTCCCAGGTAAGCACTGCGGGGTCCCCAAAACTGGCACTCCCTGCATGGCACCCCTCTGACACCCCCGATGCAGGTGGGGGCTGTGGGGCACAGGGGGAGGAAGGGTGGGTGTCTGGGCATGGAGAGGGAGAGAATGACAGATGGAGGGCTGCAGCTCTGCCCCTTATGTTTGGGGGTGTCTTGTCCCTGAGGTCCCCATAGGTGACCCTAAATCAGCAGGGCAGCCTGGGCAGGTCACTGTCCAGAGGATGTTGATTATCCCGGGAATCCCAGGCATCTCCCAGGGCCTCCGGCAGCTGCCCTGGGATGAGTCAGCCCACAACCAGGACATCCCTGAGCACCAAGCCTCCCCTTCAAAGGTGCCGCGGGTGACTCCTCTTAGGATCGAGCCGGCATCTCCAGCACTTCCATCCTGGCATAACCCACACAGTGTCTCTCCCTAGGGCCACCACGCTCTCCATGGAGACTGGCAGCTCCTTCCAACAGCTTGGCATGCAGCAGCACCTCCAGCCCCCCAGGCAGCAGCTCTCGAGCTACGGCAAATGCAGCACCACGGGCAGTGAGCCTGGCAAAAATCCTGGGAAAGCTGCTGAGTGCAGTGGAGGCAGCGGGATCGGGAAGGGGCCAGTGCCAATGGTCTGCAGCACTCCATGGTGAGAGTGAGGGGCTGGGAGCAGGAGGGAGACAGGGAGGTGGGCAGGGGAAGCTGTGGCAGGGCCAGAGCAACGGGGACCCCAGGCTGGTGCTGGGGGAAAAGTCTGAGGTCTGTGAGCCACCATGTCCCAGCATGGCCCAAGGGAGGAAACAGGATCTGCAGGGAATGGTGCTGTGTTGGGCTGCTCCCAGCAGCAAGAGAGACAGGTGTGTGCAGATTCCCTGCGCTGTCCCCAGGGAATCTGGAGTCCAGTTTGATGCTAGAATGGGATAACGTGGATCTGGGATGACATGAAGCTCTGGGGAGGTAGAATGGAACTGGGTCCTCTCTAACACCCTCATCCCTGCAGTGGGAACCCCTATGCAGGGCTGGTGAGCCACCTGCGGGGATCCTGGCTCTCGGGGAAGACACGGCCCATGGAATACCGTGTGGCACAGCTGGAGGCTCTGGGACGCTTCCTGGATGACAAGAAGCAGGAGATCCTGGAAGCCACTGAATTGGACATGGGCAAGGTAAGAGGGGGCTGGGAACTGGGGGGCACTGGCATCACATCTTTGAAGTCCTTTGTATTCTGTTGTCTGGGTATTGCATCCTTGTGGGGGTCTGGGCACAGGGGTGTCCCTTCCTTGGAGTCCTGATTCCCCCTTGATGTGCTCCCAGGCTGGTGTATCTGTAAGTGCTGGATCCCTGCAGATCCAGGGATTGTGGAGGGGCTGTGCTGTTGGTCCTATCCCTGGTGCTCTGAAACCAGGAAAAGGCCCCGTTGGCCTATCGGTGACTGGCTGAGTGTTTAACACTCTGGTCTGCATCCTGGGGGTCCATGGGACCTCCACAAGAGTGACATCCTGGGGTGCTCCTGGCCAGCCCAGCACACCTGGGACTATTGGCATTGTGCAACGTGCTGGCACTGCACATTCCTCCCAGGGCCTCCAAGGGACTGGTTTCACTAGCATGGTGGCATGGGCAGGGCTCTGGATATGGCTCAGGGTATTGTGGCGTTCCAGGAGCTCCTGGATGATCTGCTGTTGAAGTGGATAATTGGATAAAATGGATAATTTTAGTGGTCTCAGCTCATAATCTCTGGAAGCGTTCAAGGCCAGATTGGATGGGGCATGGAGCAACCTGGGCTAGTGGAAGGTCTCCCTTCCACTATGGGAAAGAATAGGATGAGCTTCAAGGTCCCTTCCAACCCAAACCATTCCAGGATTCCAGGAGATAATCCTCATCTCTTTGTTCGGCATCAGTGAAGTGGCCTATGCCCTCAGCAGTATCTTTCCACATCTGCCATCTCCCAAGGCTCCTAATTGCCTTGTTTGTTGGAGGCAAGACCTTTTCCTTCAGCCAGGCCTTGATAGGCATCAGAGCTCTGAGTGTGTCCATCATATTTCCTAATTATGCCTAATTAGATCCGGTTGTCGAGTAATGAGCTTGTCATGCAGCCAAGCCCTCATAGCTAGATGGACACTTCACCTGCTCTTACGTAGCTGAGGTGGTGTCTCACCTCCAGCATTGCCAGTTCCTCTCTGGTGCTGATGACTGGTGGCACTTGGATGACCTCAGACTTAATGTCCTATCTCACAACCTTTGTATCCCATCAAAATTCTTAATGGACCAATCATCTTCCTTGTCCTGGTGATGCCATAGTCATCCTAGGTTAGGAACAGCTCCGTTGTTTCACTCCATTATCTCCTGTGCCTGCTGAGCCCTCATGTCCAGGAGGGCCATTGCATCTCCTGGCAGCTGCATTTTGGAGACCTGAAGGTCTCTTAGTAGTGAAAGATCCTGGGAATCAGCAACTAGCCTTCCCAACCCCAAAGTGGTGTGGGGATGGGAGGAAGACTACAATCCAGGCATGTTTTTGGGTTGGAAGAGTGCATAATATGATGTCACAGCACAGGAGCTTTGCTCCATCTGCTCTCCATGGTCATGAAGGGGCTCCATGAGCCTGCTGGGCTATCCATGATGTCTTCACACTTCTCCTGCAGCTATGGAGAGGACCCAATTCTCCATCACAAGGGGTTTAATTAAGGTGTGGTTCTTATTACTTTCCTTCCTTCAGTCAAGGTCCTAAGACTTTGACTAAACTTAAGACTAAAGGTGCAGCTTTTGTCTACGGGCAATGGAAGGGAGCTAGGGGCTTTGCTTCCAGTTTCAATATCCAAGTGGTAAGGATGCCTTCCACCAGGACCAGCTCTTCAGAAGCTCTGCTCACATTGCTTGGGTGTTCCCTTGGCTTGGGGCTCTGTTGCCGGTTCACAGTGCTGAGCTCAGGAATTTGTTAAATACCATGAAAATTATAAATTTTGATTTTTTTTTTCCCTTCTGGCCAAATAACTATTTTCATAAAATTTCTGGGTCACTGATATATTCCCTGGGAGTTACAGGAGGTGATGGAAATTTCTGCTGAAGAGATCCTCCTGCTATTCGTGTTTGGAAGAGGGGAGAGATGCCTCCTGGGGTGGTGGGGTTGGCATTGGGGTGATGGGATCTGTGTTAGGGTGAAAGGGTCAATGATGGGGTCAGTATTGGGGTGGAACTTCCATGATGTCTCTCTCCAGCCATCCTTTGAGGCTTTCTTCAGCGAGATCCTCCTCTGCAAGAATGAGCTCAATATCACCCTCAACAACCTGTCCCAGTGGATGAAGGATGAGCATGTGGACAAGAACCTGGTAAGAAAGGAGCTCTGAGGAAAGGAAAGCGGGGGAGAGGGATTGCTGGTGGGGAAGGCAGTGCTGAGTTCATGTTCTTCCTGAAAGGTGATGCAGCTGGACTCTGCCTTCATCCGCAAGGACCCCTATGGGGTGGTGCTCATCATAGCACCCTGGAACTACCCCATCCACCTCTTCCTGGTGCCCCTCATCGGGGCCATCGCTGCTGGTGAGCCCAAACTCTCAGTCTCCTGGCCTGGAAGTGCCAGTCTCCCCAGGAGTCTTGTCACAATAAGTGGTTGTTGTCACCATGTCACTGTGCTGATGTCCCGTTCATCTTCCCCCAGGGAACTGCGCCGTCATCAAACCCTCAGAGATCGCCAAGAATACAGAGAGACTCGTTGCTGAAACACTGAGTTGTTACCTGGACAATGTGAGAAGTCCTTGTCCTCGTCTGTTGTTACTAGACCATGGTGCTCCTAACCCTGCCTCACACCCACCATCCCCAAACATCATCTATGTGCAGAACCTCCTCCTACCATGTTCAGCCAATGTCCCAGCTTCCTGGGATGCTGTTGGTGGGGACAGATGGTGACACAAGGGGATTTTTTCTGTTTCCTTGCAGGACTGCTTTGCTGTGGTGACTGGCGGTGTGCCGGAGACCACCAGGCTGCTGGAGAACAAGTTTGACTACATCTTCTTCACTGGTACGTCCCATGGGACAGAGCAGAGCCTTGCCTGGATGTGGAGCCAGGATCTGTTGGAGGATCTGGGATGTGTATCTGAGATCTGGTGGGACCCAGTGCCACATCCCAGAGCTGTGCGATGGCTGGTGGGATTCCCACCTCAATCCATGTTTTCCCTGCCCACAGGCAGCTCCCCGGTGGGGCGGATCGTGATGGCAGCTGCTGCCAAGCACCTGACACCAGTGACACTGGAGCTGGGGGGCAAGAACCCCTGCTATGTGTCTGACACCTGTGATGTGACCAACGTGGCACGGCGCGTGGTCTGGGGCCGCTTCTTCAACGCGGGGCAGACCTGCATCGCGCCCGACTACCTGCTCTGCACCATAGAGATGCAGGAGAAGCTCATGCCCGCCTTGCGCGAGGCCATCACTGAGTTTTTCGGCTCCAACCCCCGAGAATCCCCGGATTTTGGCCGCATTGTGAGTGACAAACAGTTCCAGCGCCTGCGGGCACTGCTGTGCAGCGGGCGTGTGGCCATCGGGGGACAGACGGATGAGGCCGAGCGCTACATCGGTGAGGCTTGGGGATCACTCACATCTTGGTGAGCACATTGGGGATTTTCAGCGGGTCTGCACACAGAGGGGAGGCTCTAGAGGGAAAAGCGTTCTAGGAGTGCTTAAAAATGGGTGCTGAGTGGAGGTTTCATCTCTGACCTCTGTGCCTGGCTGATGCTGTTGGGTTTCCTCTCCACAGCTCCCACGGTGCTGGCAGATGTGCTGCCCTCGGACCCTGCCATGCAGGAGGAGATTTTTGGGCCCATCCTACCCATCGTTGTCATTGCCAACATGGATGAAGCCATTGACTTCATCAACGCACGGCCGCGGCCATTGGCCATCTACGCCTTCTCCTGTGACAGCAAGGTGTGTCTGTGGAGCAGAAAAAGTGGGGAGGGAAGTCAGGTACCACTTTCACAAGCCCCAGGATGTGCTCTGAAGGGTCTTTAGAGCCCAAACGCTCTGGGAACATCTGATGGGCACACTGGGCAATGTTTGCCAAGTTCAAGCCTCTCATCTACCTTCTCTGCTCCCTCCCAGATAGTGAATCAGGTCCTGGAGCGGACGAGCAGCGGAGGCTTCTGTGGCAATGACACCCTGATGCACTTGACACTGACCTCGCTGCCCTTCGGAGGCATTGGTAGGTCCAAAATCCCCAGCCCTGGCCATTGGGAACTAGATGTGATCCATGGCCTGAGCCATGGTGAGAAATGTGAGTTTCTTCCTGCCGCCAGTGTGGTTCTGCGCTGGATCCCTTAATGTCCCTGAGGAGCCAGGTTGTACCTTCATTCCAACTTTTAGGACAAAATAGTAGGAAGAAAATGCTTATGAAAACATGGAGAACCTCTTACAGGATCTTGGAGATCCTCCTTGGAGAAGAAGAAATTTTTGGTCTCCAGGGGTACCAATTTTTGCTTTCCCAGGTGAAAAGTACTTAGCCCTGGGCTGCAGGTGCAGCAAGGTCCAGGGATACAGGAATACAGGAGTGCTGTTTCCCAGAATACTTCCCCATGACTTGATCTCTTCCCAAAATATTTCTGGGATAAGTCCCTTCATTTAGTGCTGTCCTTGCTCAGCATCTGTGTCGGGGCTGGCAGCTGAGTCAGGCATAATGAAACACCAAACAATTAATTCCTCACCTGCCTGTGGCTCAGGGAACAATATTTTGTACTTCCCATTCCGTAACTTATCTTAATTGGGAATGATTCAGACCAACCACCTTCAATTATTAGGTAAAGCCACTTTAGAGCAGATGGAGGGGCTGAAGTCATTGGGGTGAGATGGCACCAAAGCTTCTATGAGAAGTCACTTAACCTCCAGTTAAACCAGCCACAGGAACTGGGAGAATTGGCATTGCCAATGTGGCTCCAGGTTTTTAAGAGTTCCAGGAAGAAGGTTGAACAGCTCCAACCGTGGGGAGATACGGTTGGAGCATCATGGAATGAAATCAAGACTTGCAGAACCCAGCAAAGCTTGTGTAGGTAAATGGAGGTGGATAAAAAGGAGATGCCAGGGCCTCCAAACTGCTGAGCTGCAGCAGGATTTGCTGGACTGAGCATCCATATACCTGGAGGAGGCACTGGAAAAATGGAATTCCTCCACCATGTCTGTGCTGCTCAGAAAATCCTGTAGGTGTCTTTTTCCCTCATTTTGATGCTTGGAGAAGGCATCATCAGGAGCAGAGTCCCGTCCTGAGCATGGACCTGTCCTGTGTGTGTTCCAGGGAACAGTGGGGCGGGAAAATACCATGGGAAGTTCACCTTTGACACCTTCTCCCACCACCGTGGCTGCCTGCACCGGAACATGGGGCTGGAGACGCTCAACACCCCGCGCTATCCCCCCTACACCCAGCAGAAGTTGGGGCTCCTCACGACCACCTTTGAGGTGAAGCGCAGGGGCACCTGCACCCTGCTCTGAGGCTGCCATGCCCTGCTCTGAAGATGCCACGGAGTCAGTGGGAAGGACCGGGACTGTCCTGCTCTCCCTCTTCATCACGCTGCCCACTCTGCACCGTGTCCTTTGCCTTGCTGGAGCATGTTGGACAGCCAGGATGGACATCCCCTCCTGCACCCTTGTGGCCTCTGCTCCAAACCATTTTCCAGGACACAGCTGAAATGACGAAAATCTTTTTCTTACTCCGAACTTCTCTTTCTGGTGGAGAAGCGCTCCCATCAGTCCCATCTCCCCTCACATGGACTTTTCCTTTGGAATGAACCTCTCTCCCTCCTCACTGTTACTCTTTGCTCCGTGTAACTCTGCCTGTAGTAAAGACTTTGCATCAAACTCTATTCCAACCTCTCTTTGTGCCTCCCTCCTTTGGTTTGGGGGATGCTGGGAGGGTTGGGGGCTGTTTCCCATCCCAAGCGGTTTTAGCTGGAATGGAGGTGTGGCGGGGCAGGCAGCCAAGGGGCAGGGCAGGAAGCTGACAGCCACCCTGTTAGCTGGGAAGAGGGAAGCTCTGGAGCCTGGAACTGTCTTCCCGCAGCTCCTGGAGAGCGAGGCCAAGAGAGCCGCCAAGGGTCATGGTGGGAATGGGAGTGTGGAGGGATACAGGGGTGGCAGGAGGGGTCCAGGTGCTCCATCCTCTCCCTGAAGTCGCAGTTGGATGCCAGGCTGGGATGATGTGGAGCTCTGAGGAGCTGGAATGGGCTGGTGTCCCTCTAACACCACTGTCCCCACAGCAGAACCACTTTGCAGGGCTCGTGAGCCACCTGCAGGCATCCTGGCTCTCTGGGAAGGCTTGGCCCATGGAATACATGGCCCAGCTGGAGGCTCTGGGATGCTTCCTGGATGACAAGAAGCAGCAGATCCTGGAGGCCACTACCTCTGACTTGGGCAAGATGAAAGGGGACAGGAACAGGAGGATTTGGTGGCTGGAGGAGCTGAGGGGCTCCCACAGCCCAGCTGGGGGTGCTTTGTCCTCCTCTCATTGGGTTCTCTAGCCCTGCCTGGGCTCTGCCTCAGGCTCGCAGCCTCTGGATGTGGGAGACTGAGATGAAGCATGTCCCAGTCACTGTCCTCCAGAGTCCATCCCTGCTCTGCCATAGACAGAGGAGGCTATGGGGAGCCCCTTGACTTGGATAGCCATTCCCACACCCACCAGCCTCAGTTTCCCCCTTCCCTGGGCAAATTAATCCCTGGTTTCTGTCCCTGCTCCCTGCCCTGAACTTCCCATCTGATGTTATCCCCTCTTCTCCCACGGGGCTCACCCAGGCTGTGACTCCCTGCAGAGCCCAGATCCCCTGGCTCTGCAGGCAGAGCCTTAATACCACAGAGGGCTCACTGTCTTCTCTTCTCCAACCTAGCCCCTTTGGACATCCTCCCTATTCTTCCTGTTGTCTGCATGAATGGGATCTGGATAATTTTTCCTATTTTTAAGTAACCACTGCTTAAAAACATCATGTTGCAGACACAGGGGGTGCTCAATGCCCTTAGGGATTCAAATCCAGCAAGGGATGTAGAGGGCTCCAGTCCCCACATCCTGGGCAAAATGCTATGGAGTGTTGGGATAAGAGTTGCAGAATATGCCAAGATCACATGCTGCATGTTCGGTGTCTGCAGGCACCCTTTGAGCCAAATTATCTGAGATCCTCCTGTGCAAGAACAAGCTCCATGAGACCTTGAACAACCTGTCCCACTGGATGAAGGATGAGAAGGTGGGCAGGACTCTGGTGAGAGGGAAGAGGAGAGGATGGGAGGCAGAGCTGGGTGGGATGGTGTGCAGGGTGGGACCTGATGTGGCGGGTGTCCCACAGGTGATGCAGTGGACTCTTGCCTTCATCAGCAAGGATCCCTATGGGGTGGTGCTCATCATAGCACCCTGGAATTATCCCATCTAACTCTTCCTGGTGCCTCTCATCAGGGCCATTGCTGCTGGTGAGCCCAAATTTCCAGCTCCCTGGCCTGGAGGATCCCAGCAGTGCCAAGCAGAGGTAAGAGCACTTCGTCCACAGAAGGGCTGGCTGTCACCATGTCGCAGCTCCACGATCCTGTCTTCCCCAGGGAACTGTGTCATTGTCAAACCCTCTGAGGTGTCCAAGAAGACAGAAAGTCTCGTGGAAGAACTGCTGCCCAGCTACCTGGACAAGGTGGGACAATCTCCAATCCCTGTGGCATGACTGGGGTAGAGCTGTGCTCTGTGCCTGCCTCACATACCATCTCCAGCTTCACGTACTGCCCTGTTCCCTTACTCCATGCCCAGCCAGTGTCCCAGCCTCCCAGGATGCTATAGGTGGGGACAGATGGTGACAAGAGGGAGCCTTTCTCATTTCCTTGCAAGACTGCTTTGCTGTGGTGACTGGTGGTGTGCAGGAGACCACCAGGCTGCTGGAGGACAACTTTGACTGCATCTTCTTCACTGGTATGTCCCATGGGACAGAGCGGAGCCCTGCCTGGATTTTGTGTGAGGAGGAAGATGGGTTCCCTCCAGACATCCCTGCTAAGAAGGCAGGGATTGGGTTGGAGATGTGTGCCAGGATCTGTTGGAGGATCTGGGATGTGTATCTGAGATCTGGTGGGACCCAGTGCCACATCCCAGAGCCATGCGATGGCTGGTGGGATTCCCACCTCAATCCATGTTTTCCCTGCCCACAGGCAGCTCCCCGGTGGGGCGGATCGTGATGACAGCTGCTGCCAAGCACCTGACACCAGTGACACTGGAGCTGGGGGGCAAGAACCCCTGCTATGTGTCTGACACCTGTGATGTGACCAACGTGGCACGGCGCGTGGTCTGGGGCCGCTTCTTCAACGCGGGGCAGACCTGCATCGCGCCCGACTACCTGCTCTGCACCATAGAGATGCAGGAGAAGCTGCTCCCAGCCCTGCATGAGGCCATCAATGATTTCTGTGGCCCTAACCCCTGAGAATCCCTGGATTTTGGCCGCACTGTGTGGGACAGGCAGTTCCAGTGAGTGCAGAGTGCTGTGCAGCGGGCGTGTGGCCATTGGGGGACAGACAGATGAGGCCGAGCGCTACATCGGTGAGGCTTGGGGGTCACTCACCTCTTCATCCTTGCACAAAGCATATTTTGGGTTTTGAGAAGATTATAATGGGAAGTGGGTGCTTGGCCATGTGGCCTGTCGTACAGGAGGTGTGTCCTGGGGGGATGATGAAGGTGCCATCTCTGACCTTTGTGCCTGGCTGATGCTGTTGGGTTTCCTCTCCGCAGCTCCCACGGTGCTGGCAGATGTGCTGCCCTCGGACCCTGCCATGTAGGAGGAGATCTTCCTGCCCATTGTTGTCATTGCCAACATGGATGAAGCTGGGAGCAGCTCTTGGCTGTCTATGCCTTCTCCTTGGATGACAAGGTAGAGCCAAGCCAGGACTACGCCTGCCCTGTGCTCCTTGGCAGCTGTATCCAGCCATGTTTGTGCTCCAGGTGTTTCCCTTACATCACACAGACCTAGTTAGGGGGTATGGATTGTGTTTGGAAGGAGAGGAATGGCGTGGGAGACCCATGTCCCATCTTCTTTGTGTCATTCCCAGGTGGTGAACCAGGTCCTGGAACAGACGAGCACTGGTGGCTTCTGTGGCAACGACAGCCTGATGCATGTGACACTGCCTTCACTGCCCTTCAGAAGCATTGGTAGGTCCAAAATCCCCAATCCTGGCCATTGGGAGCCAGGAGTGATCCCACCCATGGTGAGGAAGGGTCTCAGTAGGAACTTTCAGATCCAGAGGGCTCGGTAATCCATAGGGAAATTCTCCTCCAGAAGCCCTTTGCTTCACCTTGGGCTCTTGGGCTTTGCTGGACATCTCTGGAGCACCCTGAGTTACTTTCTCTCCATATTCCCCATCCCAAGTTCTGTGTTTCCTGGATCCACAGAAATGTCATGCTTAAAGCACAGGGAATCAGGGCTTGAAGCAATCTGGTCTAGTGGAAGTTGTTCCTGCCCATTGCAGGGTGGAACCAGATAATCTCTAAGGTCCTTTCCAAGCTAAACTACTCTGGCATTCCATGATAGAATCACCTGCTTTTTATGGGATGATGTCCACTACCAGCTCCCATTTTTCACTCCTGTTCTCCACCTTTTATCCTTTCCTCCCTCTCAGCTGGCCAGGAGGCATCAGTGACCTCCCTTTATCCTGGGGCTGCTGGTGTTTGAGGAACTGAACCACAATTAGCATTTTATCAGGAAGACTGACTGGCTCAGGCTGACTCATGGAATTTTATCCCATCTGTTATCAAATGATGTGTGGATTTTGGTTTTTTTTGCCAGCCTGCCTGGCTTTCCTGTGCTTGTTCATGCCAGCCAGCTTCCACTTCCCAACATTCATCCTTGGGGCTGGTCCCACCTCACCAAAGGCACCTTGGTTATTGTGCCGGTTCACCCCTGCAGTCTTGTCCCCTTTCAGCAGGGCTGGATCCAGCATGGATGGGATGTCTTTTTGAGGGTATTCCTGTGGGAGACAAGCTCATCTGCTGGGAGCCATGACCTCATCAGTGACACTCTTCCAGTTGCTAATTATGTTAATTGAAATGGTAAGATCCACTGACAAGAGAGTTTTTGGGAATTTCTCCACCTTCCAGCCTAATCTTCCTACTCCAGACATCCACTTGGGTTTGCACTAGGTCACCTCCGTGGTCCTCTTCCTAACAGAAGCTCATCCATGGCTTGGAAAGCAGCTGGATGAGGCATGGTGCTGCTTTTGCAGAGCTGGGAGCTTAATTTTGAGTTCTTTGACCCAAAGAATGGCCATATCCAGCTAGGGTCCTGTGCTGTGTATTCCAGGGAACAGCAACCTGGGAATGCACCTGGGGAAGTTCAGCTTTGACACCTTCTCCTGCCACTGTGGGTGCCTGAAGTGTGGGATGGGCTGGGAATCCCTCAATGCCCTGTGCCACCCCCCGTACAGCCAGCAGAAATTTGGGGTCACCCGGGCCACTTCCAAGGTGACATGTAAGAATTACTGTGCCCTGCTCTGAGGGTCTCCACATCCCACTTGGAGTCTGCCCACTCAGGACATCTCTTGCTGCTGGTCCCCCACATTTCCCTCCATCCCAGTCCCATATTCCTCTTTTCTGGCTGTTTGGAGCTTTATTACCACTGGTACCACCAGAGCAGAGGGGTTTACTGTGCCCCTCGTTGCGTGAGAAGGTCCACAACACCCTGATCCCAAATCCTTGAGCTGGAATGATCTTGGTTTCTCCTGCTCTATGACCCCAGTTTCCTTTGCCCCATGATCCCAGTTTCCTTCGCTCCATGCTGCTCCATTTTGGGGGGCTGGTTGTGCCGGTGAAGGGATATCCGTTCCTGCTAGGCTGTGGGTTGTCCTGGCTGAATCCCACGGGGATCCCCCTGGGTGGGGGGATGGAGATAACTGGTGGAGGGAGCTGAGATAAAGACAGTTTAATAGGGAAGTGGAAACATCACCGGTGCCCGCCTCCATGGACTGTGCCGGGGATGAGGAGTCGGTGCCAACGCTGAGCCCGCCAGAGACGGAGCCGGGCTTTGTACTGAATCCAAGTGTCTGAGCCGCTTCACCTTCGAGACCTCCTGGAACCTGTGGCCCGAACTGCTCCAGAAACCGGAGGGAAAGCTCCGGATCTCGGGAAGCCCTGGTAGAGCGGGACGCTCCGCGCCGGCACCGTAACCACGCGTCGCTACCGTGAACACGCGCTTCCGCTTCCGCCCGCCCTTCGGACACGCCCCCTCCTCCCGCCCCGCCAATCGGCACGCAGCACGGCCACGCTCTGCCCAATCACTGACGCTTTCCCTCTTTCTTCCCGCCCCGTGCGGCACTCCCACCAATGAGAACGGAGTCCGCCGCCGTTCGCCCCGCCCACGACGCACCGCCCCACGCGCATGCGCAGTGGCCGCGGGGGCGAGCAGGGGTCAGGACGGCGGAGGGCGCTCGGGGCCGGTGAGGTGGGAAAGGGGCCCGGGGGAGCTTGGGGGGCCTGGGGCCGTGGGTCTCCCGGTGGCGTGTAGTGGCCGCCCAAATCCTGCGTGGGGCAGAGGGAGGGAGCCGGACACTGCGCTAGCCTCCGCCCCCATCCTCTCTGAAGGGACACGCAGAGGCTTAGCGGGACTTTGGGGTGACAAGAGAGGACGGCACACCTGGGTGCCCCTGGGAGGTGGGCGTGGGGGAGCAGGATGGTCCCTTGGGGGAACAGCTGAGTCCCTTTTAGGGGGTGGACCAGATACCCGAATCTCCTGGGGGATACACTTGGGTCTCTTAAGAGGGAGCTGCAAGGAGGGGTAGGATGCCTGGGTGCCTTGAGAGGGGTTGGCAGAGGAAACGGGATACTTAGTTCCCTAGGGGGAAGCATTTGTGGTCCCTTATGGGGTGCCAGACAGGGGTGCCTGGGGGTCCGGGTCTCTTTAGGTGGAGGGGTGGGAATCAGGGTGCCAGTGTCCCCTGTGGGAAGTGGGGGAGCCCTGGCTGCCCCAGTCCCTTACTGTTAGTTGCTGAGGTTCTCTCTGCACCCCAGGACTGGCCATGGCAGCGCTGCGACTGCTGTACCAGGCTGCCCGTACAGGTGAGGCCGCCCAGGAATCCCCAGACCTCCTGAACCCCTCAAACCCCATTGTGACCCTGCTGACCCTCCTGTCCCTCCCCAGGCCCCCTGGCCCCACGTGGCTCCCTGCGCCCACTCAGCACCAGCACCCCCAGGGACTGTTACAGTGAGTACAGCCGTGCCACCCCCGTGGGGGCTCAGCTCCCAGCCCAGGGCTCTGCAGGGTGAGCACAGCTCCCCTCTTCCCGCAGAGTATGTCAACATCCGGGAGCCAGCCATGGACATGCGATCCATCACTGACCGCGCCGCCCAGACCCTGCTCTGGACCGAGCTCGTCCGAGGTGAGACCCTGCTCACTCTTCTCATTTGTGGGGTGACATCCCCTCCCCAAATATGTCATAACTCCTGTTTCTCCCTCACAGGCCTGGCCATGACCCTGAGCTACCTTTTCCGTGAGCCGGCCACCATCAATTACCCATTTGAGAAGGGCCCGCTGAGCCCACGGTTCCGCGGGGAGCATGCGCTGCGCCGGTACCCGTCCGGGGAGGAGCGCTGCATCGCCTGCAAGCTCTGCGAGGCCGTGTGCCCGGCACAGGTGAGACTTCCTCCCCCTCCTCCTCCTCCTCACCCGGGGCTCCAGCCGTGACGTGTCCCTGCGCCAGGCCATCACCATCGAGGCCGAGCCCCGCGCCGACGGCAGCCGCCGCACCACCCGCTACGACATCGACATGACCAAGTGCATCTACTGCGGGTTCTGCCAGGAGGCCTGTCCTGTGGATGCCATCGTGGAGGTGAGTGGGGCCTGCAGGGGGGACTGCAGGGACTCCCTTGTCCCACCACGGTGACTCCAAGGATGACCCCATCCCATCCTGGCAGGGCCCCAACTTTGAGTTCTCGACGGAGACGCACGAGGAGTTGCTCTACAATAAGGAGAAGCTGCTCAACAACGGCGACAAGTGGGAGGCTGAGATCGCGGCCAACATCCAGGCTGATTACCTGTACCGGTGATGGCCCCCACCCGTCCCCCAAATAAAGCATTTGGGAATTCAGCCCCTCTGTTGGCACTGTGGGTGCCAGCCCCTTCCCATAACTCCGTGTCTGTTCTTTTCCAGCGCTGGGGTCAGACCCCCCTAACCCTCAGGGGGATCCCACCCCTGGGTGTGTGGTTGTGTTTTGGGTTGTCCTTCAGATCCTGGGGGTGCTGGCACCAGTGTTGGGATAGGGGGTGGGCTGCAGGGAAAAGTGTGGGAGGTGGAGGGGGGCAGGCAAGGATGGAGGAGCAGTGCTGGTGGGATTTAGGAATCTGGGAGGGTCATTTCCAGCTTCTGAGGGCAGCCAGGTTGGGGGGGCCCTGGTGATCCTGTTCACAGTGGTACTGGTGTGAGGGTCTCAGTGATGCCTGTGATCCAGGTGATCCCAGCAGAGGGTCCTGATGGTACCAGTGGGGGAGCCTCTAGTGGTATTGGTATGGGTGTCCCGGTGATGCTGGTGTGTAGGTACCAGTGTGTGGTGCCTGTGGTCTCACAGTGGTACCAGCGTGGGGGGCCCAGTGATCCCAGCAGGGAGATCCCAGTGCTACCAGTTGTTAGGAGCTGTCCCTCAAAGGTGAGAGTAATGCAGGGGCGGATTAGAGTGAAAGGACTCTTAATGATTGATGTTTGCAAGTATGTATGTGTAGGGTTTATTTTAGAACAATTGGGTGGCAATGGAAAGCAGGTGTGTAGGTGTTTTGGTCATTATTATCTATAGTAATGCTGCTACGTGGAAGCATTATAAAATGCTACTTTTAAGAAGTGTCTAAGGGAAAAGAGAAAAAAAGAATGAAAATGTAAGGGTCAAAACAAATCACTCCGGCAGATCTTGTAACTTGATTGTTGCAATTTATTTGTCCCTTGGTCAAAGTGATGGGTCTGGTTCTGTCAGCAGTGAGGGAAGAAGCCCACAAAACACCAAGTCTGATGGGTTAAAATGTGATGAGGCTCGGGGGGAATGCCTCAGAAATGAGCCTGGGAGCGCTTCGGGGGTCTCTGTTGCTCAGTGATCCTTTTTCAGCTGCCTCTCACAGCGGCGCAGTTCAGTCTTCCTTCTTCCGGGGGGGAAGCATTAGAACGGAGCCAGTCGTGCAAGGGAGGGCCATGAGTATGCCGAGAACGACGACTGCGCCTTGCACGATGCAGGCAGTGATGGTTCACCCCCTTTGCTTTATGCAGATTGGGCAGTAGCACCCGAAACCTCTTCTCTCCAGGGATGCCAATCTGGCTCCTCCGGTTTCACGCCGGTGCGGGGGTCCTGCTGATACTGGCGGGCGGTTTCCCGGCTCCGGGAAATGTTTCCCATTTCCATCCTCCTCGGGGGATGTTGCGGGGCTCCTGTCTCCGAGGGGCCGCTCCCCACGCGGTGCGGAACGTCCCGGGGGATGGGTTTGCCGGGGGCGGCGGGGCCGGGGCGGGCCGGGCGGTCCCTCCCCGGGGCCGGGCTCTTCCTGGGGAAGAGGAAGTGCTGGATCCCGGCCGAGCGGGGTGGCGGGTGGGTCCGGAGAGGGTCCGGCCCCCGCGGTCCCGGGGCGGGGAAGCGCCGGCCCTGACTCAGAGGCAGCTGAATGGGGCGGGGGGTGGCGAGGGAAGGGGGGGTTTCGAAAGTACTTTGCCAGCCCGGTGCTGGGCACAGCCGCGTGTGACTGAGCGGGCCGGCACGGTCACAGCACGGGGACAGCCCGGCTCCGTCGCCGCAGAGACGCCGGGGCGACCTTTGCCGCCCTCACGGCCTGAGGGAGCTCTCCGTTTCCCGTTCTCATCCCACCCCACTGCCTCCTCTTCCGTTCTGTCCCATCCCCAGGTGTGTGCCCCGACGCCTCCGCGCCCCGGGCCGGACCGGGCGTCTCCGGGGGGCCATGGGGTCCCTGTTCCGCAGCGAGGAGGTTTGCTTGGCCCAGCTCTTCCTGCAGTCGGCTTCTGCCTACAGCTGCATCAGCGAGCTGGGGGAGCGCGGGCTGCTGGAGTTCAGAGACGTAAGCAGGGGCTGGGGGTCAGGGGCGTTTTGGGGTGCCTGCGGTGCAGGGGGTTCGCTGGGAGGGCCTGGGTGCAGGGGGGTTTGCTCTGGTCGGGTTTGGGGTGGGTGTTCTAGGGTGCCGTGGGAACAGGGAAGTTGGTCAGGCTGGGTTTGGTGCCTGGGCTTCCTGTTCCCCCGGGGTGCTGAACCCCCCAGTCCAATGTGGGGCCATGCCTTGACTGTACCCCGCAGCTGAACCCCAAAGTGAGCCCCTTCCAGCGGCGCTTCGTGGGCGAGGTGCGGCGCTGCGAGGAGATGGAGAAAACCTTCAGTGAGTGCCGGGGGGCCGCGGGCTGACTTCGGGGGGCTTCTCAGGGGAACGCCCGGCTCAGCCCCTCAGTCTGCCCGTGTGCCCCCCTTCTCCAGCCTTCCTGCAGCAGGAGCTGCGGGCCGCGGGGCGGCTGCCGGGGCCGTGTCCCGAGAGCCCGCGGGCGCCGGCGGCGCGGGAGGCGCTGCGGGTGCAGGAGCAGTCGGAGCAGCTGGCCCAGGAGCTGCGGGAGGTCTCCCGGAGCCGCTCGTCCCTGCGCGACCGCCTGCGGGACCTGCGCCAGCACCTGCACGTGCTGCGCGAGGGACAGCGCTTCACCAGCCTGCCGGTGGGTCCGGGGGTCCCCGCCGGCCTGGGGGGTGCTGCTCTGTGCCTCAGTTTCCCCCAGGCTCATCCCTCTGCTCCGCATCGCCGCAGGCCCCCCTGGGCTCCCCGCCGCGGCCACGGGCGCTCTCGGAGCGTGAGCCCATCCTTGACCCCTCCCTGCACCACCACCTCGACCGCAAGATCAAGTGAGAGGGGGAAGGGTGTGGGGCGGGGAGGTGGAGAGGGGCTGTGGGGCCGTGGAGCAGCTGGGAAACTGTGGGATGAGGCTTGGAGATGACCTTTGGGGCAGTGGTGTAGCCAAGGAGAGGTTTGCCTATCCCAGCGCTCCTGCTGTGCCTCTGCAGTTTTGTGGCCGGTGTCATCCACCCGTGGCGAGTGACCGCCTTCGAGCGGCTGCTGTGGCGTGCCTGCCGCGGGTACCTGGTGGCCTCCTTCGTGGAGATGCCCGAGCCAATGGAGGACCCGGCCACGGTGAGGCAGCACCCAGGGGCAGGCTGGCACGGCTGTGAGGGGGCTGGGACACCAGAGTGACACGGACTGTGCTGTCCACAGGGTGAGAGCATCACCTGGGTCATCTTCCTCATCTCTTACTGGGGCGAGCAGATTGGGCAGAAGATCCGCAAGATCTCAAACTGGTGAGTGGCCACGCATCAGCTCACAGGGAGGTTTATTCAGTAGCACCCACTCTGGACCCTGCTGCGGGGCCGGGCTGGGGAGCCCTGACACCTCCTGACACGGCGATGTCCCTCTGTCCCAGCTTCCACTGCCAGGTGTATGGGTACCCGGAGAGTGAGGCCAGCAGGACAGAGGCCATTACCAGGCTGCATGGCCAGATCCAGGAGCTCAGTGTGGTGAGCTGGGTGCCATGAGGGGATGTGGGGGCCACGCTTGGATTGCCATTCCTGACACAGGTGCCCGCAGACGCTGGAGGAGACGGAGAAGTACCTGGCGGAGGTGCTGGACAAGGTGGTGCAGGTGCTGCCCACCTGGCGCGTGCAGGTGCAGAAGATGAAGGCCATCTACCTCGTCCTCAACCAGTGCAGCTTTGATGTCACCAAGAAGTGCCTCATTGCCGAGGTCTGGTGCCCTGTGCGGGACCTCACCCAAGTGCAGGATGCCCTGCGCCAGGGATCTGTGAGTGGCTCGGTGTCCCCATGTCCTCGCACCAGGAATTGTTCAGTGTATCCATGTTCATGTTCTGGGGTTGCTTAGTCGTTCTTGTGTCAGGAGTTATCCTGTGTTCCCATGTCCTTGCTCCTGGGTTTCCTGGTGTCCCATGTTTGTATGTCAAGGGTTTGTTGGTGTCCCCATGTCCTCATTGTCAGGGGTTGTTATGTGTCTCTGTGTCCTTTTTGTGAGGTTGCTCAGTGTCCCCATGTCCTCATGCCAGAGGTTGCTTGGTGTCTGATGTCCCCTCATCATGGTGGAGCATGTGCCAGGCTGGGAGGGGATTGGGGGGCTGGTGCCAGGTGCTGGGCAAGGGGTCCTGGGGCTGGTGCCGGGAAGGGGGGGTGTTGTGGGGTGGGTGCTGGGGGCAGGCTCCATATGCTGGGCAGGAGGGTGCTGGGGGTGCCAGGGTCAGGTTCTGGGTGCTGTTCCCGCAGTACCAGAGCGGCTCCAGCGTGGAGTGCTTTGTGCAGCGCGTCCCCACCGCGGAGAGCCCCCCCACCCTCATCCGCACCAACAAGTTCACCGCCGGCTTCCAGAGCATCGTGGATGCCTATGGGGTGGCCAGTTACCAGGAGGTGAACCCCGGTAAGGCCCCCTGGCACCCCCTGAGGCCCAGGGCTGAGAGGGGACACCCTGTGTAACGCAGTCCCTGTGTCCCACAGCACCTTACGCCATCATCACCTTCCCCTTCATCTTCGCCATCATGTTTGGGGACGTGGGGCACGGGCTGCTCATGTTCCTCTTTGCGCTCTGGATGGTGCTGTACGAGGACAGCCCCCGCCTGCGGCAGGGCACCAACGAGGTGGGGGCATGATGGAGGGGTGGGACACAGTTACAGACGTGGGATGGTGTTGGGGGCATGGAGTGGGGTTGGAGGTTTGGGACGTGGGATGGGACTGGATGATACAGGATGGGGTGGGTGGCTTGGGACAGGGTCAGTATGGGTCGGGGTGGTGCTGTGGGGCAGGGGAGGTGATGTGGGACATGGGAGCTGTGTTTACCCCCCCTAGATCTGGCTGACATTCTTCGAGGGGCGCTACCTCATCTTGCTCATGGGTGCTTTCTCCATCTACACCGGCTTCATCTACAATGAGTGCTTCAGCAAAGCCACTGCCATCTTCCCCTCTGCTTGGAGTGTGGCCACCATGGCCAACCACTCCTCCTGGAGGTGGGGTCCCACCCCCATGCCCCCTGCCCGGGTTCCCATCTCCCTGCTGGCATTGACACCCCTTCCTCTGCCCCCAGCTCTGCGTACCTTGCCACCCACCCCTCGCTCA